TACTTGGATGTGGTTGGTTGAGGATCGTTTGTTGCTGCTCAAACTGCATATATAAGACGTTGTTGTTCTCAATAAACGTGATTCAGTTGCCTGGGACCGCAAGTGACTGGGTCCGTGCCGTCGGTTGCGAGATTTGCTAGTTAAAATAAGTTTGTATTTCCAACAAAGAAAAATCATGTATTGTCAGAGAGGTTTATGAGAGGATAGCACTTCTCCTATGTGAATGCCTGCAGGCGTGTCCCATTGAGTCCTGATCTCACGTCCCAAGCTCTTATTCAGTCTCAAGCTCTCTAGTGAACTCAAGTTCCCAAAGCATCTTGTTCCTTCCCTTAACCAAGGCCACTCAATGCAACCTCTGACCTTCTCAGATCCAGAGTTTTAGCTTTTCCCCTCCTCCTGCATGAAAAGCTTGAACCTTCCCACTCTCTTGCCTCAGTGTTTCAGCTCCACACACCTATTGTCTCAGAAGTCTCTTTTTTTCTCTTGAGAGAATCAATTTCCAAACTCCTCCTGCCCCAGGATGAACATCAGAACTTCCAGCTTTCCTATGTTAAAACTTCTCAACGCCTGTTCCATTGCAAAATCATCTTTTAAATCTCCCTCGCTATCCTACCCTTACCCTCCTCTCGCTTTCTCTCTGCTCTCTTTAAATATTTCTCTGCTCTCGCCCTTCTGATTTCACCCACGGGCTCTCATTGGCTCCCAGCATCTTATATCCATGTATGACTTAACTTACATGACAGCCTAAACATCTCTCCATTTCTTTTCCATCCCCAAAATCCAAGTCCTACTTCCTAGGTTTTAGAAAACCTGGATGTGAAATGTACTTGAGGTGGACATTAATGACAAAATCCATAAAGCTACATTAAATGCAAGCATACACATTTTACAGTGACATAACTAAAAATGTCACTAATTTAGTAAATGTGAAATATATTTACCAACTGTATGGGAAATATTCAATGACTACTATATCATGTCCCCCTCACAAATTCAAATAAAAAGTAGAACAACTTATGATTTCTCTCTTGGGCTGTTTATTTTCCTGAAAATAAAGGAATGAAGAAACAAGAGGACTGTGGGAGGGCAGAATGAACTTGAAAAACGTCGTCTGTCATTATTATCACAAACACAATCATCTGTGATTATTCTATAATTATCAACACTCACAAATACAAGCTAATTGGCTAGCTTAACTGATAAGATGCAAACTAAAACAGGAGTAATTAATGCATATGTTACAATGTAAAACTCACTTGACTTTGGAAGACTTGAAGGAATTTTGAAAGCCAGTCTGCAAGCAGATCTTTTTTTTAAGTAACTAGGTGAATTATCTGTTTGCTTCTTCTTTCTTCTGCTAAACCATAACACACTAACTACCAAATAGGCACGATATTATATAACAGCTTTTTAAAACGATTTATAGACAATCCCACTCTTCTGCTTTAAAAACATTTTATTTCACATTTTAGCTAAGCGAGATGAAATAAAATATACAGATAAAATAAAAACAATAAACAGTAATTGAAATGTATATTCTTGCTTCTTTATCTGCCTTCCCCTTCCCCATGTATGTTCTGATTTTAATCCATTCAGTCTTGATGACTGATATCAAGGAATAAAGCTGCATGGTCTCTGTGTGAGATCATGTCATAGTTCTAAATGCAGAGTTTGCATACATTCTAGACCATAAAATATCTTCTGTTTATTTATAAAGTAAGTTTTGTACGTCTACATTGATGACATACAAAGTACATTTAAGGTAATTTCTTCATAATTTGCCTTTAAGATGGGGAGTTGTAATAATTTTTGTTCACATTTGCATGTACATAAACTGTATCTTAACCGTGAATTTAACTTGTGGACAACTTCTCTCCTTCCCTCAACTGCATAGACAATTGTCATGGTTTGAGATAGCCCCAAAAATCCAATCCCCTAGTCTAAGCCCCCTCCCACATCTCAACCTAATGTGAGATGGGTTTTTCCAGACAAAACACACCAGACTCCAAATGGGGAAAGGGAATATA